TTTTACAATCGTACCAAAGCAGAAGTTTCACCTCTTTCTCCCCACTTTTATTGTTTTAAGCTTCTTCACTTTGAGATGGTTTAGTCGGATGCTGAACTTACAAAACTACCTCTCTTTCTAAGGTTTTAATTCATCCTACAGCTCTATTTGAATGTTTCATCTCACTTTCAGTTGGTCTGACCTTTTCCATTAGCATAATTTAATAGAACATTAAACGATGCTAAGATCCAATTCCAGTTGGCATAACCCATGAATATTATTGCATTACTTAATGCATATAGTTTTGCAAATCAAATGATTGTCTCAATTATAGTTAAAATTGATTCGAAAGCTTCATTTAGTGATTCGTAAAAAACAAATTGCCATCCTCACCGGTGGAAATTAATAGTGTTTTATACGTGATTAGGGAACACATGGGTAGCTAGGGACAATGATGAATTACAGTTTTCTTACCGCCGTTTGCATCCAAATCGCTATACTGTTGGCTTAGACAATAAAGAGGATATTCATTTGTTAAAAGTATCATCTAATGTCAATCGTATGGAAACATACCAACAGATAAGGTTCTCTACAGTTCCTTTTGTCAATCCACTTCCTCGTTTAAGGCCAAAAGGAAACCCTAGAAAATGGAGAACTCCCAATGTTGTCTTTCCAGGGTGTACAGTAAATAGCACTCCATGCTTCTAGCTTCGGAATCTATTTTTAGTTTAGTAATTAAAATTAGCCAAAGGTTGCTGCATTTCCTTCGCGGGGTCCATAAACGATCGAGTGTCACCTTGGGATCAAAGGAAATTAAACCAGAAAAATAACTACATTGACGCAAGTGAACATATACAAAGCAGCCACTCCAAAGACATAAAGAAACTCATTACAAATGCTCAAACTTGCTAAATGCTCACTTACTAGAAGATGCCACACTTCATCCTCGTAATCCCATAATCGAAATACCATCGCCACCTCAACTTTTAGTTGCATGCCACACCTGGAGAAAAAACGAAAATGTCATCAAGCCTATCATTGCTAGGGGAGTTGCCACCATAAACCACAAGTCCCTGTTGGCCATCCCGCAAATCGCTTGCAAATGCGCACCACCCACGAGGCCCAGGATGACTTTCCAAACCTGACCCATTCTCCCACTTCTCCCATGCCAATGTCTCTGTGTCCAAACCATAAACCTCGCCAGAAAATTTCCCCGCACCAAGGTGACCCAAATCACTAGGATCCACTTCCCCACCGTATATGATTATGTATTTGCCAATGCCAACCGTAGAAAATACACTTCGAGCTGTTGGTTTCTCCCCACAAGTCTCTACTTGGGACCATTGTCCTTGCACTGGATCAAAGCAATGCACATCGTCCATTTCCACACCGGAGAAACCATACACGACCCATATTTTCCCTTGGGCTACAGTCAATCCAGGCCCACCTCTACCCTTGCAATTATCTCCCGGGGTTGGATATTTGATCCACTTTTGGTCAACAACATCATAGGCCCACAGATCATTTAGCCGGCCGGCAACGCCACACCCGCCAAAGATGTACACATGTCGATCACTAGCTGTCATCGAGTGGTAGCTCCGATGAGTTGGGCCGCTGTCATCATTGGAAAGTAGGGTCCACTTGTTAGTACTCGTGTCGAAAGAATAGAACTCATTAAGCTCCTTATGTGTGCTATCCCTACCACCAAACACATATATGGTCTCACCAACAGTGGCCATCGTGACACCGACACGTGGAGGCGGGACATCGCCAGTTACCTCGGCAATGGACCATGTTAGGGTATTGAGATCAAATACATAAAGGTTGTTGTCAACCGGGACTCGTGGGATGAACTCACCTCCAAAGACATAGGCCTTTTGTGCTACAATGGCAATGGCGTGTGAGCTCCTAGCTCCAGGCCCAGTTCCATTCTGATTAAGCTGATACAAATGTACAAATCCAAATAGAGTAAAACTAGAGGTGAAGTTCAACATGGGCTTCAACTCATACAGTGAAAGGAAAATGCAGAAGAATCATGACCTGGTGGCATGTTGCTGATGTAGCATGTTGAATGGAAAAATAAAATCTACAACATGTGAATGATATGAAGTATTACCTTGGGTGGTATTATCTAGGGCAAGTGAGTCTTAAAAGTCTAATTTTCATTTTACATAATAATACTAAGACTACTACTAATATTCTAGTAGAGAATAGAGATAATAAAAACAATATATGACGCACCATAGCAATTTTAAAATATAATAAGTTGGTAACAAAGGTACAAATCGACAAAATCAAGCTAGCACGTCCAGGAAGCCAACCAAAAAATGAACATACTTTCTTTCTCTCTCGACTGTTTAGCTCTTATTCACTCATTCTTAACGTCACTTCTATAATTTATAACAAACTTAAAAAGAAAGTGTCTTGCCTCTAGTCACTTGGAGGGTATAAGAAAAAAGAACAAAAAGAAAAGGAAAAGAGAAATAAAAAGAGAAAGGAAAAAACAAGTAAAAAGAGACCTCTATGCAATGCAGGGGTTATAGTCTAGTACTATTAAAAGAGAACCCCTCATTTCGCCACATGCAAGGCTTTGAAAAGGAGATTTTAGAGCTCTAAGAGATTGCCTTTAAGAAGGAGTTTTAGAGCTCTAATAAGTTTTCAAAAAAAAATTTTAAATTGCTCGGGCATGAGAGTAAAATTAAAAAATAAAAAATGTCCCCTCACAATTTTATCAGAGTACTTGAAACCAAGAAAAAAAAAAGTAACAACTCTTAAAAAAAAAACAACAAAACAAAGAAAATAAATTTACAACAAATATTCACAAAAGGGTTAGATTTTGCTTTTCTAACACAAATAAAATGAGAGCAGAAATAAATAGAGTTAGACTCAATCTCTTTCTTTCTAAAAGACAGATAAAACTTTTGTAATACACTACAACAACAAAAGTTCAATCTTAAAAACAGAGAAATAGAGAGATATCCTCAACTTCTCTGGTAATTCTACTCCTTCTCTAGTAATTATACTCCCTCTTTTTTAGAAGAGAAAGAAAAAAGATGTTGAAATAAAAGAGAGGCGCAAAGAGACCCGTGTGCAAAGCACGGGTCATATTCTAGTTTCTTTAAGAACACTGTTCCTAGTTTCTTTAATTTTTTTTACACCGTATAGGTCAGGCTGTTCCGAGGAATGATTTCATAGAACCATGGATTTTGCGCATGGCTTTCACAAAATCACAACATATAATCGGCAATTTTCTAGTAAAAATTACCCATATATTTAATCGACAATACTAAGATAACTGCTGGGAAACAGATATATAAAGAAGCAGTGAACACATTTCTGTGGCTAATACAGGAGGAAATGGACGGGTATGTTGGAGTAGGACTGTAGGAGCCCCTGAGACTGGTTCAGCGTTTGAAGCAGAAATTATGGCTATAATCACTTGACCTTTCACTATTTTGCAATTACTTTCAAAAAAATCTTTCCACATGGGCAGCAAAGATTCCAGAAACCCAACCTGACTATGGTTCTGGTTTGGCCTGTAAGGAATAACTAGAAATAAGACGTTAAGGCAGAACAACAGGCGTTGAAACTTATGAATGTCATTTTACCATGAAACAACAACAATTCCCCCAAAAAATCCGAAAATTTACTCAGCATGTGATCAAGCAAAATTCAACAACAACAAGAAACGCCAGAGTTTTGTTAGGGCAAACTTAGCAAAAAGATTTGACATGAATTAGAGAGAAGCAGAGAGCAAACCTTGACCCATTTCCCTTGCACTTCTGCCATCGCTGGAACAGATTTGTATTTAGTATTCTCAACAAAGTCACTGTTGAACCTGGATTCTTTTAGGCTCTCACCACATGAATTTATAAGAGAAACTAAAGCACTTAAAAGAGTTTGTGGTTTCCATTGTGTGCCAGTACACATTTCCTTTTTAAAAGTTAGTATCTGGCTGTACATAACACGCCCCCAATTTTGATAATATTGCAGCACTACCCCTCATCTTAATTATAATTATTTGGATACTAACAATTACTTTTAAACTTAGGCTTGCAATTGTTATTATTATTATCAAAGAGACCATCTGCCTGCTTGCCCTTCTTAAATTGTCCAATGAAATATTTAAATGCAGATACTGTAGAAAGGCATGCAATGTGCCGTGCTGACAAAAGTTCCATTGGAAGATAATAATAATAAAGGTTATCTCCACTGCCTGCTTCCCTAATTTAAAATTCGTGTATTCAGTAACTAATGGTGTAGGTTTAGCTATCCTCTCAACTTTATACTAATAACATTAACCAACAGAGACCCCATTGAAAATCAGCAAGGCCCAGATGCATTATTTCACTGCCTAACTTCTCATTTGTACTTCACTGAAAATTAAAAAACAAAGTATCTCATATGAACAAGGGGGTGTAATTTTTTCTTCTTAATGCAGCCTTTGAAACCTAACCCTGAGTGTTTATTTAACAAGTTATGCTTGCCATCATTTTTATTTATTGGCATGATATGTAATTATTAGATTCATTCAAGAGCGGAATTCCTTAATTCATGACTGGACACATCAAGTGGGAAAAATAGTATATGTTAAGACAAGTATTTTCCTTATAATTATACTCCTCTTAAGAATGAATAAACCACTAATCCAAGCCTAATCTTCTTATAAGCAGGACTTGAGTATTAAATCAAGGGATTAATTATTCCATCCTAATATATTTTTTTAAGAAAAAACCAAGTGTTTTCCTTCAAAGATATTTTTAAAAAAAATAGTAGACAAAATGAAGCATGCCTCATATTCTCCATTAATATTCTTTTTCCAGAGAGGAAAAATAAGCATGAAGCTTGACATGAGGGCCAACTTATCAGCTCTAACCCCCACAAGGATGAAAGCAACAAAGCTTGAGCTCTGAATGACTAGTAATTACTATAAGAGGAATGTCATCATTCACCAAAGGAAGAAAAAAAAAAGAAAAATAGTAAAAATAACATCAGTTCATGCATATCAAATTTATTGGGAAAGCATTACATTATTTATTAAGGAACAAAAACAGGATATGGAATGAAAAACACGGTGTGTGTCTTTGGTGTAAATTATATATTAGCTATCCCTCTTGGCCTTTATCCTTGACCTTGAGTTTCTGTTGTATCAGCTTTTGCATGTGCACAATCAGACTTATTCATTAGTAATGACCTTGCTACTGCAGCTTATAGCTGGTTCAGATCTCCGCTGTTGAAGTATAGGTAACTAGTTTTACCAGAAGATGTGGTCGTAGGAACTGGGGAAAACCCGGCGTAGTCCTTCTCTAACTTTGTTATGCATACTTGGGCAACACTACTAAAGACACTATGTTTCTGGATAAAAGCTTGGGCTGCATAGTCCTCAAGTGACATCCACTGAAAAAGGGAATAAAGAAAGAAAAAAGATTAATACCTGTTTGCTAACAAATTATTAGAGATGGTTATATATAAGTTCATCTCAACTTTGGAAGATGAATGTAGGCCACCGTTCTAGCCAACTTCAAATATCCAAGGTAGCAAGAAGTTGAGTGAGGCTAATATGTTCTTCTACCTTCAAATGAATTGATGTTAATGTGGTTTTAATCTGAATCCAAAAAGTGGCATTGTTCCTAGGAATGTCATCGCATGAGCGGAGGACGCAGGGGACTTTTAAGGATGTCAGGATAGGTTATAGTTGAAATCCTTACCTATATATTAAACTAAGATTAGTTTATCCACTATCCATATGCTTCATGATTATACAAGTTACTGGAGAGAAAGGAGAAAATAAGCAGCCAATCTCAGTGGCAATGACTAATCGGTAGTTGTCTGATCAGATGTTATCGATAGTTTGTTCATAACTGTTGTGGATACATTACCTCTACCACTCTGATCTTTCCATAGTCTTAAACTAAGCACATAGCATGATCAGGATTGGTGCATTGGCTCTGGAAAGAGTCTTTACCTTTGATACCAAGATTTTGGTGGCATTCGGTATCTCCTCTACTAAATCTACAAGACAATTCCATATCCAAATTATAGCCTATAAGTTAGTCTTCTTCTTCTTCCATCCGTGCACTCTCTAGGACATATATACTAACTTATTCATGGAAAGGTTACAGCCAGTGTCACCTCCACCTATACGGATTTTTGCATTAAGAAGAACCGTTTCCATTAGCTAATAAGCTCCTATAACTAGCAGTCTGTACACGAGTGTCCATTAGAATGTACCTGGGCCGCTGCAATCTCTATATCTTGCTTCTGGATGTCAAATGAGTGTGGACGTAACATGCAAACAAAAAACAAATCCGATTTTGTAAAGAATGACTTGTGACTTTGCCTGTATTTGGGGAAATTGAAAGAGACAGAGGTTGTTAGGAGTCTAACTTTATAAAGCGACTAGCTAGAAACACAGAAGTCTTATTGAGATTTATGACAAGGAAAAAATCTACTCAGTCGCCAGCATGTGGCCTAAGAAGTTTTAAAAAGCAACATTTTTTCAATATGCCATCGCCTGGAGAACTATGTATCCTTCATTTTACCAAACAATTTTATACAGACAATCAGTGGAACCGTTAATATAAAGGAAAGCACATACCTAAATGCTAAAATTTCCACAAATTCTGTGTCGATCTGAAGGAAAACAAACACCATGGTTAGATTCATGGTGGCTATAGAGAACCTTCAAATGTAGTACACAATTTAAAATTCATTGAAACAGAGAGACCAATTTGCTTACTTACCCCTGTTTCTTCTTTTACTTCTCTAATTGCTGCCATATAAATATCCTCACCCTGTGGATGGAAAATTTGAGTTCAAGGCAAAAAGATAATAGTAAAACACCAGGCTCACAGTCAACTCACCTCATTAACAACTCCGGTAGGGAATTTCCAGACACCTGTGCCTTTGAAAATGCCATTCCTTTCCTGGACTACAAGCACCTAGAAAAGGGAACAATCAATTGGACAAATCAGGAGGAGTAGCCAACTCAAATTAGCTGGCGGAAAGTCAAATTCATGAAGACAGGCTACTTTTCAACCAAAGGGCATGTGTCTTGGATAGGTAGATTTCAGCAATGTAATAGGCGTTAATATACAGAATCAAAATGGACCTTCTCAACAACCACCTTATTTTTCCATAATATCGCTAAGTAAACCAGGAAAAATTAAGCAAAAATTGAAGAAAGGGTACCTCTCTTTTATCATTTACGACAAAAGCACCAATCCCTACACGATGTGAAGCGTTTTGAGGAAGAGTATTGGTAGAGTTGCTGATCCAGTTTACAAGCATTAAATAGTCTGGTTCAGCATGGTGGTATCTAAATCCTTCCTGAGCAATTAACAAAGCAAAGACATGAATTTCACGATTGAAATACTCAAAAGCAAAAGAAATGAAGAAGATTAATGAATAACAATCTGATTTTAAAATCACTGGGACTGTCTTTTCCAAAAACTAAATTGTATATTCAGAATTAACATTCTCATAAGCTTCATTAGTTGCCAAGAAAATGCCTTTACCTTAACCGCCGGTTCAACCAGATTAACAAGTTCAGTAGGCACTTTAATCCAAACCGCCCTCTTCCCCTGCAAAAGGTTTGTGATTGCCAATTAAATTCACTTCAACTCAGCAGCAACAGCAAGCTCTAAAAGGTTGTGGCTAGTTAGCAGAGTAACAGAGAGATGGAATTGCCGACTTGTTGCTTCCACGGTGAAATTGAAGCTCTAAGTGAAGAGGCGAAGGCCTCAGAATCCATAGCTTTATTCATGTCTAGAGTGATTCCTCCATGTAAATCCTCGACCCCAGTAAGTAATTCAACCTGTTGAACTTCATTTTCAGGTACCATCTGCTTTTCAATTGCTACTGCACCTGTTGAAGTCGACATGTATCCGACAGAGCTTGATGACTTACTATTATATTGACCTGAAAGAAAAAAAATCAGGTGTCATTGGTAAGTTGACGCTGAGAAACAACATTTGCTCCCATCATCCCAGTGAAACCAAGACATGGCCCATTAAGTGAGGACCATAATCTCTGAATATGTCCTATGTTTTTCCTTTGTAATATTAAATAAAACTGAAATGACTGGAAAGGACTCTTGCAAGAACCACACTTAAAACGGTAATTGCCAAAAAAGGAAAAACCCAGGAAGGGCAGAGCTTATAAAGAGAATTTCAAGGAGACAAAAAACTTCCATACCTTTTGGGAGACAAAACCAAGAAAAGGGTACAAAATGAACAGTTCCAAGACAAAGATTGTTGGGTTATAGTTTGCCTTGTCTTAGCCTATGCATGTAAACCAAATAAACAGATCTTAGCAGTTAGTTGGCGTACAGATAACCTCCTTCCTCTCAAACAACTTTAATCTCTGTACATAGGAAATGATTCTCAAACTCCATATATTTATAGCGTTTTGTCTTTCGTACGATCTGGAAAGCAGGTAGAAAAAAGGCTACCAAAAGTATATGAGTTTGACGTAGATCAATGGAGGATTTGGCAATTGATCGGAAAGCGTTGAGAAAGATAGCTCACAAAGAGGAGGAAGAAATTCACGACTTTGTCCACTTGTAAAACGCTGATGTTGAAATCCGCCTGTGCATTCTTGTTTTTTTAATTTATATTTTTTTCATAATTGTCAAAAAAAGGATAGGAAGAGATTGAGCAATCCGCGTAGACTTGAGAAAATTATCTTACGGTTTTTCACTCTATCAATAAAGGCTCAGAGAGCTGATATATATTTGATGTTTAAGTAAAGTATGAAAAAAAAAAAAAAGAAAGAATGTAATAATTACAGTTAATTAACTAAACAGAAGATTGAAAAACAACTATTAACAAAACTTTTTTAATAAAATGATGCATTTCTCACTCTTGTACTCTGTCTTCCATTTCTTTATTCAAAACGGTGAGTTTTAACTTTCCTTATTTTTAAGATTCCTTTTTTCTTCATTTAGTCGAATGCTCCTTTATTCTATTGTGTACTCAGTCCAACTAAGACTGAGTTTATTCCCTTCTAACCTTTCTGATATTCCCCATCAAGATGACATGTAAATGTAATGAACATTCATCTTGCTTAGGAGACTATGAAATTGCCTTGGTTGTAATGCCTTAGTAAACGTATCAACAAGCTGTGAGTTAGTTGAAATAGACATTGGTTTGATCATGCTTTCGAGTAGCTTTTCCTTGATGAAATGGCAGTCCATTTCAATGTGTTTGGTCTTTTCATGGAAAATTGGGTTCTTGCTTATGTGAATAGCCGATTGACTATCAAAGTAGAGTATTATAGCATCTTCATGTTTCACTTCAAAATCTGTCAGTAAGTGCTTCAACCCAATAACCTCACAGCATGTGGACGCCATGGATTTGTACTTTGCTTCTGCTGAACTACGAGCTACAACAGATTGCTTCTTTGATTTTTATGTTACCAAGGAATTCCTAATTAAGATATTGAATCCTATGATCGATATTCTCAAAGCTTGACAACCAGCCCAATCACTATCATGGTAGGTTGACAATTTTAAGTTTAACTTGGACTTCATCAAAATACCCTGTCCTAGTGAACCCTTAAGCTATTTTAGAGCTCTATGAGCTGCTATGAGATGTTCAAGTCCAGGTTTATCCATGAATTGTGACAATACTTGGACTGCATATGTGATATTTGGCCTACTGAATGTAAGATATAGTAATTTTCCCACTAGCTATCTATATTCTATTGGATTAAGCAAATTTTCTTCATCTTGAACTTTATGCAACTTATGGTTATAATCAATTGGAGTAGATACTGCTTTAACTCTTAGCAAACCATGTTCCTTTAGGAGATCCAATGCATATTTCCTCTAACAAATTGAAATTCCTTTAGTAGAACTTGCTACCTCTAATCCTAGGAAATACTTGACTTTTCCTAGATTTGTAAGTTTAAAATGTGAGTTCAGGATTTGTTTCACCCTTGTTATGGCTTCTAGTAAGGTGTTCCTAATCAATATATCATCTACACATAGTAGTAAAGCAATGAAAATACCATTCTTTTCCTTTATAGTGAACAAGGAATAATCAGCAATTAACTGGTGAAATCCATATTGTATAAGCAGTGAAGTAATCTTGGCATTCCATTGTTTAGAAGCTTACTTCAGCCCATATAAGGACATATGAAGTTTACAAACCAACTATGTTCCCTCTAGGTGCTCCTCGTGAACTTCATACCCCTATGGGAGCTATATATATACTTCTTCTTCTAGGTTGCCATTGAGAAAAGCATTGTCCACACCTCGTTGGGTTAAATTTCAATTGAATGTGTCTACTAATGCAAAGAATGCTTTGATAGTGGTTTGTTTTACAATAGGACTAAAGGTCTCCTGGTAATCAAACTTGCCACTTTATTATACCTTTTTACAACTAAACATGCTTTGTATCTTTTAACAACGCCACTTGCATTCAACTCGATTTCGTAAACCCACTTACACCTTATGACATGAGAATTAGAAAGCCTATGTACTATGCTCCATGTCTCATTATCCTGTAAAGCCTTTAATTTTACTACCATAGCCTTTCTCCAATGAGAATGATCATCAGCTTGATGGTAATTGTGGCCCTCATATAAGTTGGATAATGACGTGGTAAATGTTTTATGTGCAGGTGAAAGAAGTTGAGTGGTTAAATGGTTTGTGATTAGATATGTAGTGACAGTTTGATTGTGATGGTAGATTAGTAAAGTATGCATCCAAAATATTTAGAGGTATGTCTAATTCTTGTACTCTTTCTGATAGGTAAGTCAATAGATGCATTTTGTAAATGTTGACTATCTTGATCACTATGTGCATCATCTTCACTACTGGTTGTAGTATGCAGACTAATAGTACTAGGTGAATTTGGTGATGAATGATTTGAATTTGAGGTTTCAAGTATATATGTGGTAATACTAGGTTCATTTTGATTTAACTCAATAGGTGTGTGCTCAGGGAAAGTACAATTCAAGAAATTAGAATCAAAATCATCAACATATTTGGTATGCATATCAATTGTTTCATAAAATGGATTTGTCTATGGTTCATGTTGTTTATATTGAAATGGAAATATTGATTCATGATAGACTACATTTTTTGATATTATAACTTTGTATGCACATAAATCATATACTCTATAACCCTAAATGTGACTAAGATATCCCAAAAACACACTTTTGCTAGCTTTGTGATCTAGTTTCTTCCTATGTTGTGACAAAATTGACACAAAACAAAGACTATCAAACACCCTTAAATGGTCATATGTAGGTGGTTTATTATGTAGTAATTCAAAAGGACATTTGTTGTTTAGTAACTTGGTAAGAACCCTATTAATGATATGCACTACAATTAATGTTGCATCTCCCTAAAAGTGAATGGGTAGATTAAATTGAAACATCCAAGCTCTAGCTACCATTAAAATATGTTGATGCTTTCTCTCAACAATTCTATTTTGTTGAAGAGTTTTAACACAAGATGATTGATGAATGATGCCGGTTTTATCAAAAAAATCAATCATTTGAATTCTAAACCATGATCTGATCTGATGCATTTTATTGAGTTGAATTGTCTTTGAACATAGTGATTAAAAGATGGAATTATTAACAACACATCAGATTTACTTCTCATAAGAAAAATCCAAGTAAAACATGTGTAGTCATCCACTATAGTGAGAAAATATCTTTGATTGGATAATGTTGGTGTCTCATATGGACCCTAAATGTCCATATGTATCAATTCAAAAGCAGTTGTAGTGTTTTGAATATGCACATGAAAGGGTAATTTTCTTTGCTTTGCAAGTGGATAGATTTCACAAACAAAATCTCGTAAACATTTAATATCTGGATATTCCTTTTGCATAACATTCTATCTTTCTAATGGCACATGCCCTAGTCTAAAATGCCAAAGATTAAAAAAATTGTCTTTACAAACTTTAACAAAGGAAGTAAAAGGAAAATTTGATGAGTTAGTCAAAAAGAAACTTGGAAAGATCTTGACCATCTAACTTTTTTTACATCAAGTACAACCCTGAATAAGCCCTAGCAACCCTAATCACTGTCCATGAGAGTATATCCTGATTAACACAGTGCATATCAATAAAGAGTACAAAGGTTTTCTTAGGTTTTCTTAGTATTGGTAAATTGACTTGCAGAAATAAGATTGAATTTGAATTTTAGTACATAAAAGACATTTTGAAGGATCATGCTACTACCTAACTTAATAGTTCTTAGATGAGACGTATGTGCTCTTTTGTCATTATGTAATTAAACATAGTAGTTTTTACTAGTTTAACATGGATAAAGTTTTCAAGGGAATAGCATATATGATCTATGGCACCAGAGTTTATAATCCATTGATTTTGTCTTATCATATCAACATTTGCATTTTCAAAAATAAGTGGCAAGTTATTTGATGTATTGAAGCATAGATGACTTGAAACAATACCTACAAAGGCAAATTTGACAAGTGATTGGCTTTTCTGCTGAGTGTTTTGTGAAGTACTCTTACCATCTTCACTATAAATTCCATTCTCATTCAAGAGCTCTATTAGCTTGTTGACTTGTTGTTTTATGGCGGATATTTGAGTCATAGAACCAGTTCCAACCATTTCTTTCTCCTGTTTAACTTTACTGTCATCTGACCCTAGTACATCACTCATAACTGCTATACTATACTATTCACCATAGCTTTTCCTTTCATGAAGTTTGGCTTTCCTATTGTGAATTTAAAATCCTCTAAAAACCCAATAAGTCTATAGCATTTGTCTTTAGTGTATCCTTTCTTTCCACAGTGGTTACACGTAAAGTCTTTTTTCATTTTCTTCTTGATGTCTATTATGGCCATCATTGTAGATGATTCAAGGACTGGTTGCGCCTAAAATAGCAGGTTTCTCTATGTTTCTTCCCTTAGAACCATACTATACACTTTGTCCAAACTTGGAATATGATTCATCAATATTATCTTAAACTTGATCCCAGAAAATGACTCATTGAGTCCATTAAGGAACCCAAAGACCATATCTTTTTAATATTGGTCTGAAAATCTTTTGAAGCAATTAGGATCATGTCCTTCACATTGACAATGTGGTAAAGGCTTGAAACTTTTTAGTGTCTCTCAAACACCCTTCAGCTCAATGAAATATGCATCCACTGTCATAGGTCCTTGACTAACATTTCCCAAGCTATATTGTAAGTTACAAACTTTTCTGTCATCAGCTTAGGCAAAGTTTTGTTTTAATGTGCTTCAGATTTCAATAGCTAAGTCCATGAAGAAAATTGTTGAGGCTATGGGTTAAGTAATTGAGTCAAGCAACTAGGCTACCAATAGATTATTACAACGGTTCATTTGAGATATCAGGTTTTGGTATAGT